AGTAATACTCTAAATGGTCAATAAAGTCTGTGTAAATTAAATCACTTTTCTGAATTATTTCTTCACTATGAAACCAGACATTTAACTGAGAAGAATATTTGAAAGTAGTGCTGGAGAGAGAGCTCAGCAGTTTAGAGCACATGCTGCTCTAGCAGAGGACCTGAGTTCAGTTCCTACCACCAACATCAGGTGGCTCACAACAACCTAAGTTGAGCATGAGGGGATCTAACGCCTTTCTGGTCACCACTGATACCTGTGTGCACATGCTCCCGTGCTTGCTCTCTCTCTCTCTCTCTCTCTCTCTCTCTCTCTCTCTCTCTCTCTCTCTCTCTCTCTCTCTCTCTCTCTCTCTCTCCCTCTCTCCCTCTCTCCCTCTCTCCCTCTCTCCCTCTCTCCTCTCTCCCTCTCTCCCTCTCTCCCTCTCTCCCTCTCTCTCTGTCTCCTTACACAAACAAGATTGAAAATAAATTTTATTCCAAAAGAGTTGCACAGACCTCTACTCTGGGTCAGCTGTAATGTGGGTGTATGTGTGCTTGTACGTTTGTGTGCCTGTACCTGTGTGTGTGTGTGTGTGTGTGTGTGTGTGTGTGTGTGTGTGTGTGTGAGCACGTGTAGGCATTGCCTAGGCAGGATACTGTGACTTCAAGCAGCCACAGGGGTCCACTCACCTCATTTTGGTATTAGTAAAAGCTTCTGTGTGAAGTAAATGCATTGCTCCTCACTCTACATTGATCCCCCAGTACTTGCAAAGGTACACACACAATCCCTCTCCCACCTCTTTACCTTAGAAATGCAGAGGGGGAAAGGAACAAAATCAAAGCACTTTCTTGTTTGAATTCACTCCGTTCTACGTCTTCCCCATTGTCCTTTCTTGCCACCTTGGTAGGTAGACTTTTCCCGCCTTCTTTTTTCCACACACACATTTTTACTCTTTGTACAGCTCAACCTGTTCTGGGTGCTTGCAATTCTCCCTACAAGGCTGTCTTATTTTCACCCAACATGCTCCAATGGTTATTCTGATTAGTTCTTCACAATTCTATTCCAGAGTCTCCACCACCAGGAACTTTTCTCTGGCCACCCAGTCCCTGCCTCATTGGTGGCTTCCTCGTACCAGTATGTTCCCTTTCTAGCATATTTCTAGTGCAAGGAATAGCATCCCAGAAGTTCATTCGCAAATATCTAATAGCTAGAATAGCCCAAAACAGCATTCCAAAGCTTAGAATTTTAAAGCTACCTGTGTACAATAAAATGAAATACATGGTAAGAGGCATTTATTAGGCAAATGGAAGATTATATTATATACACATATAAGTGTTCTGTCTCTATATCACCTTAAATGTAAAATAGATACTTCAGACATCAATAATGCTGGGCCCTGTCAGGGTTCTTATTTCCACCAAATCTGGAAGGGCTAGCACAGTCCACAAACACATCCTCTGGAAGCCAGACGTGCAGCTGCCAATATTCCTAACTGCCTGCTTCCTCTGTATTCTGCCTCTCCATGTTAGTAGGCTCTCTGAAGCATCCTGTGGATGTAGTTTTTTACCCAAGTTCCTCAGAAGGCAGCCAAGTCTAGGGAGTAGAATTTATAAAGAAAGATGTAGATGGCACTTTCTATCCTGCCTGGTCCTGCAGCAGTTTACTCCCAAATAAACACACAGAAGCTTATATTAATTATAAACTGTTGGGCATATAGCTCTGGCTTCTTATTGGCTAGCTCTCTCTTAATTATTAACCCATTTCTATTAATCTACGTATCTCTACATTATCTTGGCTGACCTGCAATGCCCGGGTCTCTTGCTTCCTCGGCAGCTACATGGTGTCTGCCTGGCTACACCTACTACGTTTCTCTATCCCTGTTTCAATTTCCCACTTGGCTAAATTCTGTCTGTCCAGTGGCCAAAACAGACTTATTCATCAGCCAATAAGAGAAATGTATACTCACAGCATACAGAAGGACATTCCCCCATTAGAAAGTTTAAAGAACTTCAGTAAGCCATAACTCTCTTTATATCACTTGGAAACAAAGTCCTCTCTGCACGTTCTTTTTGTTATTAAAAGAGAATTTGAAGACAGACTCAGAAGAGAACTCATTTTGAAGACAGACTCAGAAGAGAACTCATGGACAATTCATTGGGAATCAGAGAGACCAGGTCAAGGAAGCCTGCCATCTTGACTGATGGGGATGTCTTCTGCACATATGTTTCTCTTACTGGTTGATGAATAAAACACTGCGGCCAATATGGCAGCAAGATGGGTGGGTCTAGTAGATGAGGAGAATTCTGGGAAGTGTAGGCAGAGAGGAGTCATCATGTGATCCCAGGGAAGAGAAGTCGTGAGTGAGACATTCTCCAGTAAGATAAGACCACGTGGAAATACATGGATTAATAGAAATGGGTTAATAATTAGAACAGAGCTAGCCAATAAGAAGACCTAGTCATCAGCCAACAGTTTCATATTTAATATAGTGTCTGTGTGTTCATGTTGGACGAGGTGGCTGTGGAACCCGGAAAGATGTTCCAGAACACTTGACTGCTTCCAGGAGGAGAGGGATGGAAGGAGGGAAGTGAGAGAAAGCTAACACCTTAAGTGGAGCAGGAGATAAACAGTTCACCCTAGAAGATAAGGAGACACTCCAGGGAAGGAACAGAACTCACTGTCCAGGGCCTTTGTTCCTTGTAACTTCTAGTGAATAAGATAAAACTGCTGTTCTTCCAGAGTGACCCAAGCTTTGGGCAGCACCCCACCATTTCAGGACAACCAATGAGGAAACGTTTCACCTCAATATCATTTATTTTAGCCTTGTAGTGCTTGCTCTAATCAGCCTAAAACATTGGAACAGAAGAAAGAAAATGGCTGTGCTTGTCATTTTCCTTTATAGTCAGTAGTCATGGAGTAAACGTAAACTTTTGACAGCTTTGAGCCTTCCATTGGTTGGTCTTTGGCGTGTGATCAGTGTGATAGCAGCTTATGAATCTTTATTCGTCACTCATAAAGCCAGCCCTGGTTCTCGCTAATCTGGCCACAATGAAAGCTAGGTTTGGAATGAAAGCAATTTGGAGACTTTTCATTATAGCACTTGAAATCTACCTCCTTTAAAAAATTTTAGTGCCCAACTCTAATAATTGCTATTGTCAGCTCAACACCTAGGAGCCAAGACTCAGAGCACATCTGTGAAGGGTTGACTAGATTAAAGAGAGCTTCTAGGATCGTCTGAGGGATTGTCATGATTTCCTGGGCAGGGTTAGGGAGTGAAGACTGTATAAAAGGGACAGGACAAGCTGAGCAGTATCATGCAGGCATTAATTCATTTCTCTTTGTTTCTGAGTGCATGCTATGTGACCAGTTCTCCCAGACATCTGAGACTGTGACTTCCTGGTCATGGTGAACTCTAAACTTGAATTGGAACCTAATAAACTCTTTCTACCTTAAGTGGCCTTTTTCAGAGTATTTTAACACAGCACCGGGAAAAGAACCTAATATACCCACCTAGCAGGTGCTCACCAACCACTGATCACACCACTTGTATTAGGGGAAACTAACTTATTGAAAGCTGTGTGTGTCACAGAGTGACTGGGAAGCAGATGGCTGTAGCTGGTCCTTTTATTCCTCTCCTTCCTGCCAGCATCCCCTGTCACTCAGAGGTCTTACAGCTCCTCAAGGAGGTTTCAGAGAGGACTAACCTCTGCTCAGTTCCCATATCAACAATTAAGTGACAGGCTAATCTTTGCTTGTATCTTCCAATTGAGAGAAGGCCCAGATCATAATGGAGGGAGAGCAATTTTATACTCTGTCAATAAAAATTACAAGAAATGATTATATTTTTTCCCTGAAAGAAGTAAGCAGATATATCACTCCACACCAATAAGAAGGAAGTTTAATGATATATTACGGGAAGTTCACCATCTCCTTTTACAGAACTCTTTGCTTTTGTCTATAACATCTGGCATCTCATTAAACGTTTTTTCTAAAACAAATGCAGACTCTTGCTTGGAAGGCAAATTCAGGTTCCACCTATATACTTACAAGTAGGCTTAAATTCCAGCCTATTCTATTTCATGCTGTGTCAATAGGGATACATGAAAGAAATAAATTATTAGAGTAAGTATTTTCCACTTTGTGATTCTACTTGTTAATCCTAATTTCTCCTTTTTTCAACATGATCTTCTTATGGACTCAGTGCTCTCCAAGCAAGTGGCAGCTTAAAACAATTTAACAGCACAACCCCCAACATGTCCTCCCATCTGGAAACGAAGTCAACCAAGACAGCTAGTGACTAAAGTCAGCAAGGAAAAATGAGACAGGTTTGCAGTAGGAGATTCACTCTGCCAGTCATTCGCTGACTTTGTAATGTTGGGTATTGAATTGGCTTTAGTTGTTGTGGTTGGTTTAGCGAGACAGGGTCTTGTCATGTACCCTGATTGGTCAGATACAATGCAGCCCATGCAGATTTCTGTCTACCTCAGTCTCCCAACAGCTGAGATTAAAGGGGTGTGCCAGTATATCTGGCTTCTGAGTTTGTTTTCACAGGAAATGTAGTACAGTTTCTATCCCACCTGGTCCTGCAGCCTTTTAGTCCCAAATAATCACACAGATGTTTATAATATTTATGAACTGTTTGGTCTATTGCTCAAGTTTATTATTATCTGGCTCTTACAAATCATTTTAACCCATACTTATGTATGTTTAGCCACAAGCTTGGTAACTTTTCTCAGTAAGGAATTCTCATCTTACTTCCTCTGTGTCTAGCAGGGTGGCTTGTCTCTCCTTTCCTCTTCCCAGAATTCTCCTAGTCTGGTTGCCCCCACTTATGCTTCCTGCCTGGGTGATGGACAATCAGTGATTTATTAAATATATACAGGTGACAAATCTTTACAGTGAAAAAGAGCATTATTTTTCTTTCTTTTCAAAACATGAACCCCAGATCTAATCTCCTTTGTTTAGCTTTTGTTCCTGACCATTATCTATAACAACTTGTAACAAACACAATAAACAAAGACAAATATCCATAATCCATTTTTGGGAATGTGGGTGTAGTTTTCTAGGTTACATTCTGCAAATTGAGGGTGCGGGTAATCCTTTGGGGAGCCAAAGAAAATTTAGGATTATGGCCAAGTATTAACTGGGAAGTATTCTGTGAGGCTGGATCATCTCAACCAGCAGCCTTGAAGTTGTTTTGGATGCAGAATTCAGGAGAAACTGAAACAGAGGTACTCTGAAATGTTGGACCATCTGGGTCATCTGTTCCCTTTGGAGATATTTCAAGGAGTCTTCCTCAATAAAACTTTAATTTTCTTAACACAGAATGAATCCACAGTATCTTATTTCCTGTGGAAACAAAAGCAAAACATCTTATCCAAAGTAAAATACCTTTGACTTAAATTTTAAAGTCAAGGCATTTTCAAAACATATAGGTTAGATTAATCCAGCAGCATTTATAATCAAATATCTTTTAGCAGCTGTTTCTCCTTTCTCAGCAGTCAAACAATTTAAAGAAACACAACAACATACAGTATCTAGACTATCTGTGTATTTTCCATCTTTACGTAACATTTTTTATTATTTTATTTCTCTTATTTTAATTTTTATTTTTTAAGGTACACAGGGTTTCTCTGTGTATCTTTGGTTGTCCCAGAACTCACTCTGTTGCCCAGACTGGCTTTCAAATCACAGAGATCTGCCTGCCTCCGCCTCCTGAGTGCTGGGAATAAAGGCTTATGCCACCATGGGCAGCTACTCTATTTGTTTTCTAAGGATGTTGTCTCTCCTTTTTCTTTTCTATCCCAAGCCTACTTGTATTTTCAGACACACTGTAAACATTTTAGAGTGGTTTTCTTGCTGCTGTTGATTTTTTCTTTTTCTTTTGTTTTTTTCTTTAATCTTAATCTTTCTTTATGTATACCTCTATCATTTTGTGACCACACGAGTCTTTATTCTGCTAAGCTGCATGGCTAGGATTAACACTACAGCTTTGGAGGCTGGCACTGCCCCATTCCTTGGCTTCCTGGGAGTCTAGCTTCATGGTAGAAGTACTGGAAGGAACCATCTTTATTGTCCCAACTCTGCAGAGTTTCTCGTGCATGACACCACCAAGAAATATGCACAAGATGCTCATAAACTCCATTTAAGTGTTTGGTAGCAGGACCTCTTAAAAGAGTTGTGCAGTTTTGGCTACTAATACTGAGTCAGTAACCATCTCTTAAAGGAGCTGTGCCTTTGCTTGACTCTAGCAAACAGAGCCCACCTGAAAAAATGCTGCTACCAAGAAGCCATGCTTTCCTCTATTTCTTAATGTTTAGAATCCCTTCCCAAGCTCTCTCTGGATTTATGCGGATGTAGTTGCCCAACACTGGGCACCATTTGTAGACAGAAGCTTCTGTCCTACCTGGTCCCACAGCTATTTAGTCCCAAATAATCACACAGAGACTTATATTAATTATAAACTGTTTGGTCTGTTACTCAGGCTTATTACTATCTAGCTCTTATAACTTGTATTAACTCATAATTCTTGCCTATGTTTAGCCAAATGGCTTGGTAGGTTTTCTCAGTAAGGCATTCTCTGTGTCTAGCTGGTGACTGTATCTCTCCTTTCCTCTTCCCAGAATTTTCCTAGTCTGGTTGCTCTACCTATACTTCCTGTCTGGCTACCGGCAATCAGCATTTTATTAAATCAATATGAGTGACACATCTTTACAGTATACACGAGCATTATCCCACAGCCCCTATGTGTTTCAGTCTCTTATACCACACACACCAGCATTTTCTTCCTTTTTATATGGCAAACTTTTTTCACTCCATGCATGTACATTTTGACTAGTTCTGTGAAATTTTTACAGTATGTTTTGCTCCTATTCACCCCCTCTTCTAATTCCTCCCAGATACAAGCCCCTTTCCCAGCTCACTTAACTTTGTGGTCGCTTTCATTTTTACCCTATCAAATCCCATATACTCTTGGATATATAACCTTCCAGTGGAGTATGTTTGACCAAACGGGGCTATACTCTTAAAGAAAACAGATTCTCCTGTCCCAGCAGCTATCAATTGCCAGCAGCTCTTTGGCTAAAGGTGGAGCTTGGTGTCCACACCTCCTCTCCACCCTAGGATCTGACCTGGCTGAAGCTTGCACAGCTCTCGTGAATTCCGTCATAACCACTGCCCTCCCATGTCCAGAAGACCGTGTTTGTTTGTAGCTATCCAACACCTCTAGTTCTTACACTCTTTCTTCCTTCTCTTCCACACTGATCCTGAGCCTCTCAGAGAAGAAGTGTGACACAGACGTGGGCTTTCCTGCAGAGGAATGACCCATGTGAGACCAGAAGAAAGCTGAGTTAACACAGCTTACTCCAAGAGTCTGATACTGGGCAGTTTATTTTTCACATAGTTAAGCACAGTACAACTTTGGGAAAAGTTTCCTCGTGACTTCTATCACAACAAAGCTGAAAACATGACTACATAGAAACTCGGTTGCAATGCAGATGTCCTTTTCCGAGAACCTCTGACCTCTTCCTTAAGAGTGGGTTCTGTTGACCAAGGAGCAATGCTCAGGATAATGGTCTGGGGAGAAAGGGTCTGTAAAAAGCTCAAGAATAGACTTTTTGCAAGATACATGGGACCTCTTCTATAAGAATTGTTCTATTGACGGATAAACAATACGCAGGAGTCTGTGATACACACAGTAGTCTGGGGATTCAGTGAAGCCTGTCCTTACAGCAAAGGATCACTAGACTATTAATAATATCCACTCCCAGTCTTCTGGGTAAAAAACAGATCTAAATACCATCCACCGAAGAGAAAAGTATGACATTACTGATTTCTCTAGTGCTATCTGTGAGCATGAGGAACTAGTTCCCTTTTACACATGGATGTCCCATTTAGGGTTGAATCTTCCACAGTCTTACTATAGTCTCTGCAGGCTGACCAACTGCGGATATCTGTGTTAATCACCAGATACTGCAAATAGATGCTCTTCCAATAATAGTTGAGATTTTGTTTAATCTATAGGTATAAAGATAAGTCATTGATAATGCATTTAATACTATGTCCATTTAGCAGTAGGTCTTACCTAGAGCCTATGATGTGTCTAGCCACAGGTTTTTAGCCTAATAATGGTACCAGAATTGGGTTTCACCTTATGGAGCAGCACTTACACCCAATCAAAAAGTGGTTGTTTCTCCGAGTGTGCATGTCTATATAGGCCAGTCATTATTGTAGCTTGTGTGGTTCACAACTGAGTAAGATTGATGTTTATCCTGACATGAAGCCTTCGTCACTCCTTTCAGACATTGTCTAAGGACATGTATTCACAAATACTATATTTTCACACACTGTTTGGTTTATTCTTTTTGTATACTCAATCTCACATGTAGATATGTTACATGATTTTAAATAAAACACAGTAACTCCCTAAAGTTTTGAAACAATAAACTATTAATTGACACCATGCTCTACCAGAGACCACTCCAGCCAACAGTAGTCTAGCTAGGCCACCAAGCAGTAGAACTTCCCTGCTCTCTCAGTGACCTCCCCACCTAACTCCCAATCACAACCCTCTCTGTGTCACCATATCCCAGCTCCCAAGATAAGTGGAGACCCCTGCCTGAACACAAGAAGTCCAGCCCCCAACTCAAGTGGAGACCTCTTGCTCAATCAGAGGACACTCTGGTCAGAAAACCAGAAAGGAAACAGAAACCAAGGGGAAAACCTCCATCTAACTAAGACAAGCTCAAAAGATGGCACTTAGACCCCAAAGCCAAATTCCCAGAGGCCAGCATGAGAATATAATCTACAACATCCAGGATAATATGTCATTACTACCAGAGCCCAGCTATCCTACTAAAACAAGCTCTGAATATTCAAGTGCATCTGAAATACAAGAAAAAGACCTTAGAAGGTGATAGTGACCCTCAAAGAGGAAATAAATAAATTTCTAAAAGAAATTGAGGAAAAAGAAGACAGAAAATTGGAGAGAATTAATGAATCCCTTAAAGAATTGGTACAGGAGACAACTTCTAGAACATAACTCCAGTAATATAGACGCTAAGATCGACAATTAATACATGGGACCTCCTGAAACTGAGAAGCTTCTGTAAAGCAAAGGACACAGTCAGCAAGACAAAAAGGCAGCCCACAGAATGGGAAAAGATATTCACTAGCCCCACATCTGACAGAAGGCTGATCTCCAAAATTTACAAAGAACTCAAGAAGCACGTCTCCAAAACACCAAAGGATCCAATCAAAAAACGGGGTACAGAACTAAATCGAGAATTCTCATAAGGGGAGTCTAAAATGGCTGAGAGACATGTGAGAAAGTGCTCAACATCCCTAGCCACCCAGGAAATGCAAATCAAAACAACTCTGAGATATCATCTTACTCCTGTCAGAATGGCTAAAATCAAAACCTCCAATGACAGTTTATGCTAGAGAGGATATGGAGAAAGGGGAACACTCCTACACTGGTGGTGGGAGTGCTGACTTGTACTGCCACTTTGGAAATCAGTATGGAAATTCCTCAGGAAAATGGGAATCAGTCTACCAGCAATTCCACTCTTAGGCATATACCCAAAAGATGCACATTCATACAACAAGGATGTCTATTCCACTACGTTCATAGCCAGAACCTGGAAGCAACCTAGATGTCCCTCAACTGAAGAGTGAATAGAGAAAATGTGGTAAATTTACACAATGGAGTACTATTCAGAGGGAATAAACAATGGAATCTTGAAATTTGCAGGCAAATTGAAAGCACTAGAAGAAA